CAGCTATTCAAATTTCGTCCAACTAATTTTAAGAAGCAACGGCCTTCCCCCGTGGTTCGTCACTCGAATAAATCCGAATGCAGTCACAACTTATATATACTTGAATCAGACATTCGGGATACAGTTATCCTCTCTGTAAAACTTCCTTTATGACATGCGGACAGAGCCTTCAAGGGCGACAAAGTGCCCCATAACTTTGCCTCCACATAGCATCTGCCTTGCAACGTAAATGTTGCCTTTCAGCTGTTGCGAGGATTTGAACATCCAACACTCCACGGAGAATCCTCCAACTTTACCATTGCACCATGCTCGTGGAGGGCAAATGAGTGTGCTAGTTTTGTGTAGGGAGAAGTCGGAGAGAAAGGAAACTCTTGTATTGTGATCTCTTTTGAGTTAACTAATTCTTCTTCTCTTTTGGTCTCGAAGGTTTGTCAAGCTACGTTTAATTTATGTTTTCTCTATTTTGTGCTCATTTTTTAATTTTTTTTCATTTCTTTTGTGTTTGTCGCACGGCAGAATTCTTTTCCGAACACTAATTTGGTACCCACCCACTCGTTGATTTTACATGTCAAAGGCTGCGCAAGTCAGGAAAAGATAGTTAACCGGAATCGATTAGATATAAACTAGAAAGTTCAAAAATAAATTTTACTAGGAAATACCTAGGGACCTATTTCCCGAATAAATAGAGTCCTCTCATGCCATTTTCCCTGATTTACGTCACCAAAAAGGGGCGGGGGGCGTGGGGCGGGGTGTAAATCAAGCAATAATTGAATAGGTTTGCAGCAAAGTATTTTCATTTTTTTTTAGTACTAAATCCTGGATCCCTAGCCCTCGGCCCCTCAGTGACTAGTGGAGGTAAATCGCGGTATATGCCCAAATTGATCAGGGTCCGTGCATCCTTTATACTCCTGGCCCCAAAGGAGCCTTCCTCCATGATTATTACATCACCAAGCTACTCCAACCAAGAATGGTTATTACATCACTTAGCTGCTCCAACCAGGAATCGAGCTCCCCACGCTGGAGTTGCGAGCCCCGCAATGCCCGTCCTTTGCCAACTTGGATGTGCCCCGGGGGGCCACATCTTGTTCTTTCAAGCATTTGATAGAGTCATAGAGACATTATTTAGGTGGAAAATATAGATGAGAAAAAAATTTCATGTTCATTTTTCTTAGTCATTTTGATCTAATAAGTCGTATAGACATTAAAAAGCAAATAAAAAAATAGCTTAATTCATTAGAAAAGACAACACGTAAAAAGAAAATGAGCAATATTTAAATTTTCTAATGATTTAATGAAAATGAAGTTAACCTTATCTATCATAACATATGGCTTTGACATTTGTACTTCTACCAATGGTTTGTTTGACTTGCTTCAAATTTATAATAAATTCTACAAATTATTAATTATTTATTGATCTCAAATATAAATGAGTGTCAATATCGAGTTTGCAAACAAGCAAGAAAGTTCACATGTGGAGTGAATCCAATTCTACTTGAAATTTAAACCAAACATATGAGTTGGATCATATGGTTAAGCATATATGGGAATCAAGCTATAGCGTTTACTCTCGATAATTTTATCGAATCATATAACTCTAAAGATTCGTAATTTTTTAAATAAAAGAACACTAGCTTGTAAAAAGTATATAATTTATGAAGATGAGCTACGTGTGCTAATTGCTTGTTTGGAAAATCAAAGCCAACTCCACAAACTAATAATAGAAGGACATGTTCAGATTCAAGAGAAATAAAAAAATTGGACCAAAAGATTTTTCAAGATTCAAATAAAACCCACAGTGGCAAAATATTCTAATCCATTTTCTTGAAAATAATTGATTATGAGTAATTAATTATGTAAACACTTTAACCCTATTGTCATATAGTTCCAAAACAATGCATCGCTGGTACAACCTGTGCACTCAAGTGGCAAAATCATGCAACATTAAAAATAAATATTGAGACACTCGTTCAATTATTTTGTGTTGCCCATAGATCCGATATCTTTTATTTATATATAATTAAAAGGATTTTTCAATTTCACTCATCCAACTAATAATTGAGACTTTGACAATTTGTAATATGATGGCTTTTATGAAATCAAAGAATCAACATAGTATTTCAACATTGAACACGTTACATTTTTTATAGAATCGACGTGATGTTTTATAGATCAAAATATCAATTTTTCTACTATAGACAGTTTTGAATAATCATTGTTGTGCCACGTCGAATCCAAGTAAAATACAAGACAAGCATATCTACAAGAAGCTGGAAACCTCATTCAATCATTTTTAAAAAATTATCGTGCTGGTTGTTTTCATTAATATTTAATTCTTATTAATGCATTAAAAGACTGGGCCGTTCAAGATTTTTGAGTCATTTGAGCATGATTAATTTAAATAAGAAAAGGAATAATTAGAATTATTTTATTTATTTATTTATTTTTATAAGTGGACGGCATCAAAAACTTGAATATAATATTTCCATCCTAGATGACAAAGTATCCATTGCTGCAAGCTATTACAAATGAAAATTTTTAGACAGAAAATTGGTCGATAATATTTCTAGTCGATGAAGTTTAAGACATAAATGTTCTCCCTTGGAAATGTCTAATGATATCGCTCACAAAGGGTATAGAGATAAAATGTGTTAGTAAGAGAATTCCCAACAAAATTTTCGACTTTCCTGGAATTAAAATAAAATTAAAAAAAAGTTCTGTCGCAAATTTGTTAATAAATCGTAATATAACAAGCTTGTATTCATTTTTTTGTAATGATTTTAAAGCTTAAGAAAACAAAACATTTATTCATTTATATATTTGTAGTTCACAAGATTCACGAGTCCTATGTCAATTATTTTAATATTCTATATTCAATAAATAATTACAAATGCCTAGTAGGATCCTAATAATCTTGGACAAGAATGTCGAAAGAGGCTGGAATCTTTATTCTCTCTAATAATTAAGAAAAGAAAAATTAAATAAAAAAGGATTATCATGTATTACGTCACATTGTTTTTTATTATTATTTAATTTATTAATAATTAGTTAAAAAATTTGTCCAAATTTGTTTATATTCCATATATTTATAGGCAAAAATTAGAACTTCGGGTAATTGGGTTTGGAGAAATACAATAGTCATTTAATAATTTATATTTAATTTATAGCATTTTTTTTTTTAGACATTGGTTAGTTATTTTAAGCATGAATACTGTTTTTATTATAAAATAACAATTGAATCTTGATGAATTAATACATTATGGTCAAGAAAAATATATGAATTGATCTATAATTAATTAATTTAATAAAGATGTCTCTTATTTTGAAAAGAATTGTATTTAATATACTTTAATTTGTAATCAAGCACATTAAATACTTTGTTTTATGAAATCAACTATATTTTTAATTTCCTTAAACAAATAAAAGTCATGAATTTACTTTCTATGGAGGAATTATCTCAGTGCATTAGATCATCTACACAATTAAAAATTTCAACATAAAAATATGTTTTTAACTAGTATTATAAACACCAAAAGTCACCGTATGATTGCTTTATAAAATCAAATGATAGCTTGTAAGAACTAACTGAATAATATAATAAACTATTTTAAATACTTTACTTTCATAGTACTATCAAATTTTGATAGATTTTATGCAATATCTCCATCCCTCGAGGAGCGTTTGTTTCTTATTTTTGTAAAAAGGAGAATAAAAAATATAGTCGTTTTGGACCCCACGTAAGAGATAGAAACTTAAATTTAGTGATTTGATGTGATAGATAACGATCATATTTTTCATTTTAATGAGAAAATAATGGAAAACAAACATGGGGCAAAATATCAAATTTCTATGAGATACAAACTAATTTTTGAACTAGCACCTTGACTAAAAAATTTTAATGGCTAAAAATGCAAAAAGTTTTCTGTCAAATTATGCTTGAATTTGTGACGATTATCTCTGGGTATGTTCATGCAATCAAAAGCCCAGGCAATCGAGGACTTTTGGGAGGCAGGTACCCAAGATGGGTGAGAATTAAAAAAATAAATAAATAAATCTTTATTTACATCCTATATTAATATTTATTTATTTTAATATTACTTTTTCTAAGAAAAATAGTTTAAATTGAGAAAAAAAAAAAAAGGTAGGTAGATGGCACGTTCCCATTTTGGAAATTTCGGCACAACCTTATTCCCCACGCTCCTTAATTATAGGGACGGGTCAGGCGCTAGGAATTTTGTTATCCGTTGAGTTCTATTTATTTTTTCTTCTAATGAACCTTCTTCTCAGCCCTCAAAGGAGACTCGATCTCACTTGAATAACTTGATAAAGCTGCGTTCATATTTCTTGAGATAGACATTGATTTCTCCCGTTGAATTTTAATTGGACGGACCTAATATAGTCATTTGTCAACTGTCAATAGTAACGAAACATATTTTTTCTATCTAATTCCCCCATTTGATTCTCATTCTTTGATCACAAAAATGAAAAATATAATCGTTATCTATCACATCTAGCTACTATATTTGACTTTCTATCTCTTGTGTGGATCCCGTAATGATTATAATTTTCATTCTTATTCTTACAAAAATGAGTATCAGCCTTATACATTATGACAAAAACTCTATTATTTTGAAATTTGAATCCACAACTATTAGTTCTTATTAATGTCCCATTAGATTAGTCATAATTGAATCAATACCAATTTAAATAAGAAAACCGCTTATATGTTAAATATGGGATTTGATTACTCATTTCTAGCTGTAAATTATCAAAATTTCAGGGGGAAAAAAACATTTTGCTCATTTAACTTTTCCAGCTTCCATACGGTGTGTATATCATGTGCTGACAGGATCACACGTCAGTGACAGCTTTATTTTCTCACATGAATTCTAGAGTTTTGCTATACATGGGAGTTTTTCGTTCTAATCTTACTGCGAAACAGCTTATTTTAGTGCAATAATTCTGCAAGTACAGAATTATTGGGATAGAAGAAAAACAGGATACTCACATGGGGTGGGGCTGATATGAATTTTATATTGAAAAAAAACACACCATCCACCTCGTGTATGTGTGTGTTTTGAATTTCTGTATACATTCTGTTGAAATTATCTGTACCCATAACAACACTTATTTTAAAACTCTGACTATTGATACAAGACAAATCTTGTGAAATATCTAGCTACGATTAATGCCTATATATATAGAGCTGAAAAAACCTATGCATTCATCAGATTTGTGTCTGTACTCTGTGTAGTCGTATATCTCTTAGGTCAGGATTTATACATAAATATAGAAATAGAAAGAAAGAATAGAAGATAGAGAGATGGCTATTGATCATCACAAGGATATAGAAAATGGCATTGAAAAGGGTCTTGATGATCTGCAAAAGCCATTAATTCAACAAGCTAAATGTGTCGATTCTGAAGGAGATGATGTGATCGTAAGTGAAAAAAATGGCTCAATTGGGATGGTGCTTATAAGTACTTTAGTAGCTGTTTGTGGCTCTTTTGAATTTGGATCATGTGTAAGTAAATGCATATAAATGTCTTCATCTGCTGTATCTATATATTTATACATAAACCAGTTTTTTTTTCCTCCCAAGAAAAGAGCTTGTATTAACAAGTTTCTTTTTTTCCCTTGGTCAGGACCACCAAAAATAAGTAGGAAAATATTTAGCTTAAGTTAATTTCTTTTGCAGGTGGGCTACTCAGCACCCTCACAATCTGCTATCAGACAAGACTTAAAGCTATCTTTACCCGAGGTTCGTGATATTGTGACTTATTTCGTACACTGGACTGGACAATGTTACAAAATGTGAAAACTCTTATATAGTATTGTGTTGCAGTACTCTATGTTTGGATCTATAATAACAATTGGAGCTATGATTGGTGCAATAACAAGTGGAAAAATTGCTGATCTCATTGGTAGAAAAGGGGTATGTTTAATCAAATTTTCTTGAAAAAATGATTATTTTTCAGATATTAAAGCTTTTGTTTAATTTGGCATGGAACAGGCAATGAGAACTTCATCTGCTTTCTGCATTACAGGATGGCTTTTAGTCTATTTCTCCAAGGTACATATGAATTTCTTCTGCAATATTTTTTTTATTTCTTAAGTTACAGTCAGGTTACCGACCAATTTTCCCTCTTTTTTTGGTGTAATTAGTAAACTAATAATTATAAATTGGATCGTTGGTTGTTTGATATATGCAGGAAGCTTGGTCACTTGACATAGGGAGATTTTCTACAGGATATGGCATAGGAATTTTCTCTTTTGTGGTACTTCTTCAACGTTAATTTGATTATTTGAGCATAAGGTAAAAAGTATGGCTTAATTCATAACTATTAATCTGTCTCCAATATCCAATTACACGAACAGGTTCCAATATTTATTGCTGAAATAGCACCAAAGAATCTTCGTGGAGGACTTGCGACGCTTAATCAGGTACGAGAATAGTAAGCCGCATGTGTATATTGTGTTTGATGAAATGCAAAAATAATCTCTGTTTTGAATTTGACTCCAATTCTGATATGTTTGTTCTGCAGCTCATGATTGTTTGTGGAGCATCGACTGCATACTTGCTTGGAACAGTTGTAACATGGCGAACTTTGGCTCTTACTGGTGAGATCAAAATTCTGCTTGGGGAGAAATTGATACAGAATTTGATAGAAAAAGAAGCTAAAATATAATATATTACATTGTCTAGTCCTATCCAGTTCTGTGAATATAATACACACGTTAAGCAGTGGAACAATTTTCTGAAACTGACTGGGGATTTTTTTATATTAAGGACTTCTTCCTTGTGTTTTCCTGCTTGTGGGGCTGTTCTTTATCCCAGAGTCTCCCCGATGGCTGGTGAGCTTTACCGAGATTTTGATTATTTAGTAATCTTTACTAATGAGATAATTGCGTTATAAACAAAGGTTGGAATTTTCAGGCAAAAATGGGACTTGAGAAAGAATTTGAATTGGCTTTACGTAAACTTCGTGGCAGAGATGCTGATGTTTCTCAAGAATCTGCTGATATTCAAGTATATTTTGCCATCGATATATTCTGAAAATATAAAATTCTTTTGATTTCTACTGCTGATGATAAATTTTATGCTGACAGGCTAGTATTGACGCCCTACAGTATTTTCCTAAAGCTAGAATCTTTGATTTGTTCAATAGGAAATACACCCGTGCTGTCATTGTAAGTAACTTTTCTGTTGTTCTTAATTAGCTTCACAATATTTTTTACAAGTACTTATTTTGGTTCATTCTTTTCCTGTTCAGATTGGCGTTGGACTAATGGTATTCCAACAGTTTGGAGGAATAAATGGAATTGGTTTCTATGCAAGTGAAACGTTTGTGGCTGCCGGATTTTCTTCAGGGAAACTTGGAACAATTGCTTATGCTATAATTCAGGTTTGTTAAAGTATCTCAAGCCGAATTTGGTAGCATCAGATTTAGTTTGGACAAATTCCAATTCAAAGCCTTCATTTAATTTATGCTGCCAAACCCGTCCTAGTTGGTTAAATCATTGCCTGAATTTGTGCTGGTATCGTGTTTTAGGTCCCAATAACTGTAGTTGGAGCAATATTAATGGATAAATTAGGAAGACGACCACTTCTCATGGTGAGTACTTATTGACTTCTTTTTCATTTAGCAAGTGACATCGTCGCAAATAAGCCTTAACAATGACGAATTTGGTTTTGCGTTTTAGACATCAGCATCAGGCACATTTCTTGGGAGCTTCCTGGCTGGAGCCTCTTTTTTCCTCAAGGTAATTTACGCTTACTGATGTCTTTCATAACTTATTCCTGGTACATATATTTAACACACTATGCTCCTTCCACAGGGCCAAGGTCTTCTGCTCGAATGGGTACCAGTATTAGCTGTATCAGGAGTATTGGTGAGCCAAGCTCAACTCCACCATCGATTCATGTGCATATGGTCATGGATTAAACCATAATCTCTACTCTTGAAAACAATAACAATCAGAAAAGTAATCGAAAAATAAGAAAAAACACATTAGATTTATACTTTATAGTGATAAATGTCTGGTTGCAGCTGTAGTTTTAGAATACAAGTTTTTTCTCACACCCCTCAACATATATACATGAATGCGTATATGTCAATCAATTGAACTTCATTCGACTGAGGTTTTTCTTGAATCAACATGAACAGGTCTACATAGCATCATTTTCAATAGGAATGGGAGCAGTTCCTTGGGTCATAATGTCAGAGGTAAGCTCAGAGACTTATGGTTCTTGTTATAGCTAGTATATAGATATGATTCTCAATAACTGAGATCAAGAAAGACGGGTTCCCTTACCCCTTTTCTTTACATTTAGCTCAAAAACCGTATAATTTATCAATTCTGTCGTAAAACAATAACAACAATAAGTCTTTCTTCTCAGCAAATTTTGGAGTCGCCTACTTCGATCCTTTTTCGCCACCTTGTTCAATCATATTGCTAGATTTACTGAAAGATCTGAAGCAAACCACTAAAGATGCCGTAAATCCTGACACTATTTTTTACTTTTCAGATATTCCCTATTCACATGAAAGGTTTAGCTGGGAGCCTGGTAGTACTAGTAAACTGGTCAGGTGCTTGGGCAGTTTCCTACACATTCAACTTTCTCATGAGCTGGAGCTCAACAGGTAAACGATTACTGCCCAGACGTTGTCAGAATCGAATAGATTGAACCTTAATTTTACATTAATGATTTGTGATTGATTCATACTTGTGTCTGAAATTTCATTCCTCAGGAACATTCATGATCTATGCTGGATTCTGTGCTCTTACAGTACTATTTGTGGTGAAGATTGTGCCTGAAACAAAGGGAAAAACTCTAGAGCAAATCCAGGCCTCCATCAACTCATAGAATTGAATAAGCCAAAGGGAAAAACCGAAGACCTTGTCGAATATATCAGAAGCTAAGATGTGATTTCTGTCTAATGTATCTCGTCTTTCTTTCATTATCGAATTCAAGTGATCTATGCACGGACCAACAACGGTGAAGGGGGGATGGGTTCAGAAGCTCGGCTGAAATTGATCCAATTCGCTTCGACTTAGAGGACGCTAGCAAGATGCACCATACAATTGTGCCTGCAATATGATGTTCCAATCAATACTGATAGATATACATATATACTTGTGCATGTATCACTCAGAGCAGATTTGTTATTGAATTTTCAGCTGTTATTACGTTATTTCTTAAATTTTTAATTGATGCAAAAAATTATGCATATTTTTTATTCATTCTGGATTGCGCGTTTGCAATATTCCATGATGTTGAATCACTTTAACTAAAAAGATTAAGATGTTAGAGAATAAAACTAGGTCGGATTATAACTAGAGAATATTTCAAGTAATAAATCTGGATGTTCGTTTAATACTCCGTTGTTCCTAAATTTGTTCCCCACTATAATTTTCTTATTTTGTTCGCCACCTTTCAATTTCAAAGCCAAGATTATTGTGTCGTGCAGAATGTGAGAGAAACTGTCGTATTTATTAAGATTCAAAATGACTAGCTTGATCGACGAAGTTCAAATTCGTGTAGTAGCCCTTGTAAGCACTTCATTCATTTTAGTTCTCTTAGTTATAAATTATCTTATGTTCTTAAAGTGCACCATCAATTGGAGACTTCCAAAATAACATTACCGTCATATGAATTACATATTTAAATATTGAAACAAATAATGTTAAATCGTGAAAAAGTAAAGTATGAAGATTTTTAATAGCAAAGTAATGCATGAAAGAGCGTGACAAGACTCCATAATTTTGTTGAATCAATACTTCGGGGCCGGAGAAAGGCAAAGCCACTTTTAAAAGATGATGAAATTGTTAAAAAGCGATTTTAAAGAAAATAATATAATTCATAGTGCATTTTATAAGAAAATTTATACCTAGAAAAATGCTATTTACTATTATTAACGTAAGAATTCAACATACGTTTCCATTCAATTGCACGAACTCAGAATAACTAGAGATCTACAAAATAAGTTTGGTAAATTAGTGGTCGTAAAAAATCGTATACTGTGGTTATACTTTGATACTCAATCATTTAGCGTAAGCGTAAGTCTTTCTTCTCAGCAAATTTTGAGTCACCTACTTCGATCCTTTTTCGCCACCTTGTTCCATCATATTGCATGATTTACTGAAAGATCTGAAGCAAACCACTAAAGGTGCCGTAAATCCTAACACTATTTTTTACTTTTCAGATATTCCCAATTCACATGAAAGGTTTAGCTGGGAGCCTGGTAGTACTAGTAAACTGGTCAGGTGCTTGGGCAGTTTCCTACACATTCAACTTTCTCATGAGCTGGAGTTCAACAGGTAAACGATTACTGTCCAGACATTGTCAGAATCGAATAGATTAAACCTTAATTTTACATTAATGATTTGTGATTGATTCATACTTGTGTCTGAAATTTCATTCCTCAGGAACATTCATGATCTATGCGGGATTCTGTGCTCTTACAGTACTATTTGTTGTGAAGATTGTGCCTGAAACAAAGGGAAAAACTCTAGAGCAAATCCAGGCCTCCATCAACTCGTAGAATTGAATAAGCCAAAGGGAAAAACCGAAGACCTTGTCGAATATATCAGAAGCTAAGATGTGATTTCAGCCTAATGTGATCTATGCACGGCCCAACAACGGTGAAGGGGGGACGGATTCAGAAGCTCGGCTGAAATTGATCCAATTCGCTTCGACTTAGAGGACGCTAGCAAGATGCACCATACAATTGTGCCTGCAATATGATGTTCCAATCAATACTGATAGATATACATATATACTTGTGCATGTATCACTCAGAGCAGATTTGTTATTGAATTTTCAGCTGTTATTACGTTATTTCTTAAATTTTTAATTGATGCAAAAAATTATGCATATTTTTTATTCATTCTGGATTGCGCGTTTGCAATATTCCATGATGTTGAATCACTTTAACTAGAAAGATTAAGATGTTAGAGAATAAAACTAGGTCGGATTATAACTAGAGAATATTTCAAGTAATAAATCTGGATGTTCGTTTAATACTCCGTTGTTCCTAAATTTGTTCCCCACTATAATTTTCTTATTTTGTTCTCCACCTTTCTATTTCGAAGCCAAGATTATTGTGTCGTGCAGAATGTGAGAGAAACTGTCGTATTTATTAAGATTCAAAATGACTAGCTTGATCGACGAAGTTCAAATTCGTGTAGCAGCCCTTGTAAGCACTTCTTTCATTTTAGTTCTCTTAGTTAGAAATTATCTTATGTTCTTAAAGTGCCCCATCAATTGGAGACTTCCAAAATAATATTACCGTCATAGGAATTACATATTTAAATATTGAAACAAATAATGTTAAATCGTGAAAAAGTAAAGTACGAAGATTTTTAATAGCAAAGTAATGCATGAAAGAGCGTGACAAGACTCCATAATTTTGTTGAATCAATACTTCGGGACCGGAGAAAGGCAAAGCCACTTTTAAAAGATGATGAAATTGTCAAAAAGTGATTCTAAAGAAAATAATATAATTCATAGTGCATTTTATAAGAAAATTTATACCCAGAAAAATGCTATTTACTATTATTATGTCAGAATTTAACACACGTTTCCATTCAATTGCACGAACTCAGAATAACTAGAGATGTACAAAATAAGTTTGGTAAATTAGTGGTCGTAAAAAATCGTATACTGTGGTTATACTTTGATACTCAATCATTTAGCGTAAGCGAAATAGATAAATTTTAAGAGTTTTAATAAATTTTTAATTTTCTATACCACAATGCTTTTGCAATTGTATAGTTGTCATTCTTGAAACATACAAAATGTTCTATATGATTTTGGTCGGAATCATTCTTGAAACATTACCTTCTTGCTTCTTGCATGAAGTGTTTTAAAATTCTGATAGATACAACTTATTTTTTCTATTAATTTAGAAAAGAAAAATGTCTTTTAACTTAGAAAAAAAAATTAATTTTTTTTTTTACTTCCTTTGCACAAATAATTACAGCTCAATATATAATATTTTTTCAAAATTAACTATTTTATTTGAAAAATGAACAAATTAGTAAAATAAACATAGAGGAGAAAAAGAAAAAGAAAGTAATCTACACTTTGAATCTTATTCCATGCTAATTTTGTAAAGTCTTTTGGCATTATGATACATAAGAGCAATTTATTTTTCTAAATTAAACATAACATAAATGTAGGAATATAGAAATATCAAAAGCTTTGCAAAAGGACCAAATTGATCGAGCTATATATTATTTCTTCTAAGAAATGAAAATAGTAAAGCAAGCACGCCATAAGATATTAATACATAAAAGGAAAGCCACATAACCCTACGTAGGAATTTGAACCCTTGTTTGGTCCCCGTTATTTTCAAAATACATTTTTCTCTATCTTATTTTCAATCGCATATTCCTCAATAAAGTACTTAAATTTTTTTTTTTAACCACATATTTTTCATCAAAATACATTTTGAACAAAAATAGAGCTCATACAGGTAATTGATTGCCTAGAAAACGTCGAGTGTGTGTATGTAATCATTTGTGCACGCAATTAAATTTTAACAAATTGATTACTTCATACTAAGCTTCTACTGGAATACTGTAAGAAAAAATATAAAATTTACTATCAATATTTAAGAAGAATATTTATATGAGTGTTATTATTCTTGAAGAACTATAAGTATTTATATAAATAGTATGTTGTTTCTCTGAAACAAAGCACAACTTTATACTTATTAGAGAGTTCTGAAATTTTTTAATCAACAACCCTAACACACAAAAATGTAAAGTCAATAGTACTTATTCGAAAAAAGAAATGGCAATAGGACAATTGTTCTTATTACTAAACTCGTTGAAAAGATAAAATATAATCAAGGTATATTTTTTCTTCGAGCGGCAACAAGGAATGAATTGTGATCCATTCAAATTGGACAGATACTTTCCCTTTTCTTAAACTTAACGTCAAATATTTGAACATTGAAAATAGAAAATGAGTTCCTTAATAATTGACCCTTTTGATGAGAAATTGAAATTTGCATGATGCACAACTCTTAACAAAATAACTTATAAATGATCAATGCATAGAAATTGAGTTCCTCATGGCACGATGGTTTTTATGTTTTAATTGAATATAAATATAAATATAAATGTTTATTTTATAAAAATCTTAACTTATAAATGATCAATGCATAGAATTTGTCCATTGAATATGATCTTGCTTCACAACAACTGTCTCCAAGAAAAAATGTTGATTACCAACTTGTTACATTTTTTAGAAGGTTAGAAATCACTCGTGCAATTTTTTTCCAATTATAATTTATAATATATTTTTCTATTAATTAATATTGAATATCGAATGATATACAAGTAAAAATTAAGTTGGCCCCTATTAATTTTCATTTTATTACATTTTATTTTTCGCTCTCCTATTTTCAACCACATAAATTTTCATAAAATAATATTACACGTAAATTGAAAAAATTTCTTTCTTTTTCAACCATTCATTTTTCAAAATAACATTATTTCACCCATTTTAATTACCACAAAATGGGGGCTAAAATCTCAACAATAACTTTCTCAGCATCAAAATAAGCCCTCGTTTGGCCCCCATTTCAGAAAAAAAAATGAGTGGAATAGTATTTTTTTGAAAGATGGGTGGTTGAAAAAGTAGGAAATTTTTTCGATTTATATGTAATATTATTTTATGAAAGATTGTATAGTTAAAAAAAAAGAAAAAAATAAAAGGCTATGTAATGAAATTTAATGAGGACAGGGCTAAAATAATTTTTATTTTTAAATTTCAATCTAAGTATGGGTACGTGGCGGCATAAATGTGGGTACTGAATAAATAAATCTGACCAACTGGTGACAGAAATTTAGCCCACGGAAACTTTGGTCCCCCCAAAATAATGACTCCTCACCCCCATCCGAAATGACAAGTTGCCGTTAAATTTTAACGCCGTCAGCATTTTCAGTGTACAGGTGGATCGCCTCCGGTTAATTTTCCTCCAATTTTCTACATTTTGGCAAAAAGTTTGCATGATAATTGAGTGACACTATTCATTCATAATTATTTACAAATTGATATCTAATTAAATCTATCAATGTTCACTCAACTTCATGTTTAGTGTTACCTAGCCACTCGTCCTTGAGTATATTCCAGTGGTGCAAAGAATAATGGTGAGGGATACTCAGCCTTGCCGACAGTCGTAGTGCGAGGGTTCGATTTCTGAAACATGGATTGTGACTCTTTGTGGGCACCAATATACAAACAGCTCTTGTTTCCTGGCATGTTGGGCACATCTCGCGATACTCCAGGGGCAGGGCGATGGGAGATCCTTGAGGTTGGGGTTCAACCTTTTAGTGTCACCTAGCCACTTAATTTGATTTTATTTTAGCATGGCCACTCAATTTTACACTTAATGTCACTATGGTCACTCAATTTAATTTTATTTTACCGTGAACACATAATTTCATATAATGTTTCACCATAGCCAACCAACTTCTTTTTACCCTTTTTACTCATTTTAAAAATGGTAAATGATAACTTTTGCATTATATAAAAAAATTATAAAAACAAAAATAAAAGTTTATTTTAAAAAAGTTTTTTAAAATACTTTTTTATTTTATTTTTCTAAGTAATGTTTTTTAAAATAAATTAGTATTTTATTTGTAAAATATATTTTTTTTTAAAAAAATAAGTTTTTATTTTATTTTTAAGAAACTTTTTTTTTAAAGTAGCTTTTTATTTTTTAAGTAATATTTTATTTAAATAAATTTTTTTAAAAATATTTTTTTATTTTATTTTAAAAACTTTTTTAAATATATTTTTTTCTATTTTATAAGTGACGCTGCTAAAAATAATTTTTTATTTTATTTTTGATGTTTAAATTTATTTTTTATATATAATATGAAGTTACCGTTTTATTCATTTTAAAATTAGTGAAAAGAAGTTGGATGGTCATGATTAAATATTCTATGAAATTGAATGGTCATTGTGAAACATTATATAAAATTAGATGATCATGATGAAATAAAATTAAATTCAGTGGCTATGGTGACAAAGTATAAAGTTAGGTGGACATGACAAAACAAAATTAAATTAGACAGCCATAAAAATACTAAGTATAAAGTTAGATGGCCAGTGAAGAATTTAATACTGAAGTATGAAAATGGGACTTGGACCTTCCAATGAGATTCCTTTTCTACTTTTTTTTTTCCTTCTCTTTCTATGTCTTTCAAATTATTTTTTTCTCTTTCTATGACACCATTCGATAAATAATTATATACAAATAGTATTACTATTAACAATTCCAATTGAAAACATCCTCAATACAAAAACACTATGATATCATATTCAAGCCATAAATAGGCTACGAGCATTAAAAGGATACTTTTTACACAATTTTGTAGAATACGATTCAAGTAAATTAAAATATAGGATAAATTCCTTTAGGAGTCCTTGACCTTTTTGTTTCTACAATCCTACGTCCCCCAACATTTTAAAATTATGAGCTTGGTGTTTTGATGATAGAAGGGCATACAGTAAGAATGTAATAAATGATTGGTGTATATACTAGTTCAAGTAATTTTCTTCACCCATGAGGACTTTCATGATAAATATAAATTTGAGAAGATTTTGAATTTATGTAAAGCATAAGGTTAACTCAAATTGGAAGAAAATAAATACATCACGTGCCTATCGCTTGTTTTATTGTTGCTTGAATAGATGGCTTTCATCAGGATTAAGACTCTACGTTCACAAATTTAAAAAGGTTGGGAACATCGTGCTACTCAAATAGAACGTCTGCAACATAGGGTGAGACAAAAAATAAAAATTAAATTAAATTAAATAACCCCTAGAGGAATTTATTATAAAACCCTTGTTTGATCCTCATTATTTTCAAAATGCATTTCCTCCTCCCCTCTAATTTTTGTTATTTTTTAATCATAGATTTTACATCTATTTATTATTTTAAAATGCATTCCACATAAAAAATGGGGCTCGAATAAACCCAACTTTATATCTTTTTTGAACTGTTTCCAATTGTCCATATTACAAAACATGTTATGCCAAGGCTAATCATGGGAGAAGAAGACTCGTTTCCTTTCAAAACTATTGCTCTTTACACTAAACTGTCATATCAAGAAAATATGAGATTGAGCTCGTATTATTAAATTATAATAATTAATTAAAATATATAGTATAAGCTTTTTCAATATAGTTGTACAATCAATTTTCAATGAGGTGGGATTATTTAAATTTTCAAAATATGCACCAATCTAAATTTGTTATCACTAGCCTTAGCTCTAAAGCAAAGCTAACTTTATAAAGTTATAAATACAAGAATTACAAGACGATTTAATAAAAATTTAAATATATCCCTTCATTAAGGTCTAATTGCGAGACTATAACGAAAATGGGAGGACTAATTTGTTACTAGAGCAGTAGCTCGAGGAGTAGTCGTGCAGTTTTTCGGAAAAACACATTTACCAGGCAGGGAAGGAACCGGATCTTGCAAAAATATCATTTCAACCTAATACGACAAAATCCAAAGACTAACAGAACATTTAAACAACGTTAAGAGATGGGTCCCACACGTGACACGTCTAGTCAGACACTGCAAAAGTAATCAATCCTGGCGGCCATTTTCTGTCACTTTCTCTCTCCTGTCTCGCGCGTGGGGCCGGTGCGAACTCTTCCACACAACTTCCTCTCTCTTTCTCCTCTATTATTTCTGTATCTATATAATCGCCCCATTTCCATTCGACCAATTCCGACATATATACATAAATATTACAGAAGCCATATATTTATCAGAACGAGAGTTCTGAGCCAAAATCTTGGAGGAGTTTAGAAGAAATTGTTGTATAGATCAATCCCCTTTTTCAATTTGAAGTTTTTTAACCTGGGATTGCTCCTGTTTAATTTCTCCTTTTTTTAGCTGATTTTTGTTCATGTTGTGACAATACGTCAAGCCGTAAAGATAATTTATTTTAGGTGAAATTTTTCTGGATTTCTAAGGTGAAAAATGGGCACAGAGGTTTTGAGACCACAAGATTGTTTAGGAGATAGGTTCCGGGTGTCTCCGGCAGCGTTTCAACGCCGGAAAAACACGAAACATGGCGACGCTGGTTACTGGAAGCCGGTTTATCGATCTGAAAGGTCGGATCAGAATCAAAAGAAGAAATTTAACTACCAACATGAGAATTCCATATCCAAGAGATCTTCCGTATCCAAGAGATCATCAAGCGCCGATGCATTAAAATCCAGGAATAATAACGGGCCTGTTATGGGGCAGGTGGCCATTTTGAGAAGAGGGGAATCATTGGATTCTCTTAATCAGAAAATTGACAACAGTAACAAAAAATTGGGTTCTGCAAAGCAGAGTCCAGTTGACGATATGGTGGTTTATGGGACCGGAAGAATTGGTCCTGAAAGCCCAGAAATGGTGCCCAAACAGATCCGGATGGTGGGAAGGGGTGTTTCAGATATTTACGCCGGATCGGCTTTTTCCATGTCCCCTTCTCCTAGATCTCTGCCCGTACCTTCTTTTTTTAACAACAAGAGACAAGATAGTGCACGCAAAGTGTTCGACGATTCGGCTACAAGAGATTTGAGGCGATTGCTTCGTCTTGAATGAAGAATTCAGTTATAGTTCTTGTAATTGGCTTTTTGGCTTCTTATTTCTGGGATCTGGGATTCATTCTGTGAAATTTTTAACTATGGATGAATCTTGTGATCGAGAATTAAGATGAAAATAGCTTTTCTGTTCATGTATTTAGCTCGTCTATGATGATGTAATTTATGGTGGTGGCTGGTTCTGGGGTTGCTAATTGTAGGAAGGTTGTGAAATGTTGTTATAGTTCATTAGTAAGAATACATTTAACAAAAGCTGTAGCACTTTTTATGGGCTGGGGTGTAAAAACATGTTAGGATGTGGAAGTTCAGGCGCGGCGGTTGTGGTGGTGGTGGTGGTGGTGTCGGATTAAGCTTTATGATGAAGGAAAAATATTAATAAGATAATTTCAGGAAGTTCAGTGTGCAAGTTTTTGATTCTCTTCTCTTTTCATCTTTTGTTTTTTATGCTTTAACATCAATTTGATTAACTGACGAATACAATTAAACAAGGAAAAAACCCACTTTTGCTTCTTCATATGTGAAAGTCTCCACTCTCCATAGGGTAGAAGACCGCCCAAACCAAGAGAAGTTGTATGCCTTAGAAATTATTGATAAATAATCGATCTTCATTTTAACCAAAAATTGCGGTGAACCATTAACTAATATTCACTTTTCATCACCATTTCCATCTGATAAAATTAAGTTGTCCATAAATTCATACCCAGTGGAGGCTTAGTTCTTGAAGGAGCAAAGGAAGAGAATTTGTCCATAAATTCATCCCCAGTGGAGGCTTAGTTGTTGAAGGAGCAAAGGAAGAGGAGAATTCTACTTTTATAGAAATGAAGGTTGTCTTGTCCACAACAAGAGTTTTGCAGAGCTAGGTCTTTTACAAAGAATTCTGTACTCAGAAGTGTTCGTTACACAATAAAGATGAATCCATGGATGGTAGGAGACACAGGAAAACCCAGGGGGGTCGACGAAGAAGACACTTGTGGTAGAATATTGCAGGAATATTGAGAGCTGGCATGACCTGACCGTATGGGCAGGTTTTTTTGTCTGAAAAACAAAACTCGAAATGTCCATTTCATTTGGAACCCCCACAGCCATGGCATTGACTCAGCCACCCATTTTTCACGGGACAACTTGCCGGGCAGCTTCCTATCCTCTCACTGCGCGTTCAAATATCAACTTCTTTTTCATTTTTCAATTCAATGGCGTTTGATACGGAAATATTTGGGAAAATGACAGAAAACTTGAAAATTAATTCAAAGAATCGTTTATAGTAAATAAAAGATTGCAAGTCATAGGTAACCTATGAGAAGACGAGGTTGATGTGATGGCAAATGAGAGTTTCCGCGGTTGACATGGCAACAAAAATATTGCCTTTGTTTGATCCCCAAGTTTATGAAAAAATATATTTTTCAACAATATTTTGACATCATTTCAACAACATATTTTTCAATAAAATAATATTACACACAAATTCAAAGTTTTTCCTTATTTTTAACCACACATTTTCCATCAATACACTACTCAAAAATTTATTCTTCCAAAAAATATGGGGCTCAAGCAAGTGCATTGAGTAAAAAGGCGCTTCGCAAGATTATGCTTATCTATGAATCGAGAATAATGAGTCACGTCTGAGCATATTAAGAGAAACTTTTAATTAGTTAATATTATGTAATATGATTTGGTGACACTTTGAATATTGAAAAAGATTGAAATACGGAGAATTTTTAAAATGAAACACAATCAAACTTGAGTTTATATAGAAAGAGAAAATATATTTCATTTCTCCAAGGCATTTACATGCACATGTATTTTTATATCCTTCTTGAGAATTTTATCTTTAATTTTTATTTTCTGAATATAAAAGTGCATTTATTTGTTCACAAATTGCCACTCAGAAGTCACCTCCCATAGTTTCCCCTCACGCTGCAACTTGAGCAGCAGCCAGCCTAGCAATTGGAACCCTGTTGAGAGACCACATAAAGATAAGACTATAATGGCATGTTCAACAAGGAAAAATAGATCCAACAATTTCGAGAAATTAAACTAAAATTTGGTTAACTACTATCTTTACATAGTTAAACACGTCTTAAAAGCATATTTGGTAAACGTATAGTGCATGGCATTGGACAATATTTAAAAAGAAAAAAAAGTTAAAATCTTGTTCATTGTATTGTACAACGTCATTTATTCCAGAGTACCAAATGCGTTCACAAATAAAATCCCAGAGTAGCTAAAGGTCCTAAACCACTCATTAATAAAATTTCCAAAGGTTAGGTGTTTGAAGAAAAAAAGTTCAATGTGTGAACATGTTGAAGATAGGTACGAACGGTGTCATTTGATATGGTATCAGAACATGCAAATATCTTGATTGAACTTTCACTATCACAATTTATAAATTTCACGTGTCAACTTCTAAAAAAAATAAAATCAATTTTCCCGTGACGGGGTGTGTTGAAAATATAATTCCAAATGAATAATGTCTTTGAGACCTTTGCATAAGAGCTTGTGTGTGAGATATACCAATTACTGATCAATGTTTACCTGAATGGAGAGCATGAAACATAGTCCAGTCCAGTCTCTGCAAAGAAGGCAACAGAAGAAGGCTCCCCACCATGCTCTCCACAAATTCCAACCTGTCATTTACCAAACCAGTGCAGCATAATTAGCCCATGATCAGTAAACAATAGTATGCAATACTCGACACTATAATGAACAATATTTTAGCGAAAACTCGGTTTGCAAATGTTTTACTACCCTACTGATATATCAATTATTCATGCATCTGATTCAGTATATCATGATGATGATAGTCACCTTCAGGCTCGGCCTAGCTGCACGACCTTTTTCTGTGGCTAACTTGATGAGTTGACCAACACCTTTCTGATCGAGTACCTGGACAAGACACCGATCGTTAATGTATGACCCAATAATTTCCCATCTGTTTCCAATATGTTTCCATGATACCACAGAACTGACGACTAACCTCAAACGGATCATTTTGGAGAATTCCCTTAGACAAGTATATAGGAAGAAACTTGCCAACGTCGTCTCTACTGTACCCAAATGTCATCTGGGTGAGATCATTTGTCCCAAAAGAGAAGAATTCGGCTTCCTTTGCAATCTATCAATGAGCATCAAAGAACAAAAGCCACGAACGAATTGTTCATAATGAGGACGTGTCACTTCTTAAGTTATATTGCAAACTTTGAAACAAAAATAATAAATAAATTCCGGGCATCAGGCTTAATTTAAAGAATGTATAGTGATATAAATAATCCCAAAATTATATCCACATTACCTCGTCTGCAACCAAAGCGGCTCGAGGAATTTCTATCATGGTGCCCACCTTATAGCTCAATGAGGTTCCCATCTCAGAGAACACTTTCTTTGCAACGCCACGAATTAAACTCACCTGATGACTGAGTTCCTGCCACCATTGATACATAATGTAAAGTTACTGGACTAGCTACCAGCTTTCAAGGTTATGACTACTGGAATTATTTGTTATTCTGGGAAATTTTATAAGACTTATATTTGTTATTCACGATTACTACGAAATAGGGAAAAAAAATGAAATGACATACCTGAGGTGTTCCAATTAGAGGAACCATTATTTCTGGAAGCACCGAAATTCCCTGGTTGGTCATAGAGATGGCAGCTTGAAATATTGCACGAACCTGCATTTCTGATAATTCGGGATATGATATTCCTAGCCTGTCGAAATTTAATAAAACCCCGAAATGAGATTTAATTCGGGACATATTTTTATTATAAAGAAAATTCAAGTATTCTAGAAAATATACAAAACATTATCTTAGTTACTGCTAACAACAGCAGGTGTCAGACGCATACATGATAATTATTCGAGTAAAACCTAGATTCATAAAAAAGTCTGCTCATAAAAAGCACAACCCCAAGTGTTTATCTGTTCTTGTAATATGAATTATACAAATTATATTGCAATAAATTCAACATACTGCATGTTTCATATTTATGGGCAAAAAGTATCAGACCTGCATCCTCGAAATCCAAGCATGGGATTTACTTCTGATAATTTTTCAATCCTCGAGTAAATTTCATCTTCGTTCATGCCCGTGTCAGTGGTTAGTTCACCAACAATCTGTTCTAGGTCACCTTCTGGTAGAAATTCATGAAGTGGAGGATCCAAAAGTCTGATTGTCACTGGAAGACCTGAAAGTTTAAAGAACATATATTAAGAGATTCAGTATTTGCCAATTCAGGTGATTATCTTAGAGCACATTTGATACACATTACCAGATATGATTCGACCTTATTATAAACAAACATTATAGCTATTTTTTCTTTATTGTCTGGTACTAGTGTAAAATCCACCTTACCTTGTGAGGTATAAATGTTGCTTTATTTCTTCGGTCTGTATATGACACCTTACTTTTAGATTTTCTTTTTTTCCCCATTTTACAATAAACAAGAATAATGCTATTCGTAAGCACTATTGATGGACAAACATCTTTGCAGCAGTGGGGTCACTACCACAATCTCAAATAAAGTTGGGATGCATTTTAATTCATTGGAGAATGTGGCAATGACCGCACTATCACATAGACTATTTTTCATCAGCAATGCTTATAAAGAGCATTACTCTTAACAAGACAACAAATCGTTGGAGACATGAAGTACCATCCATTGCACGGAAAATTCCCTCAAAGTCAGCTCGTTGGTAAGGTAGCAAAAGGTCTAAGGCTTCCTTCCTTAGTTCAGGTGTAACTGCCATTATCATCTTTCTTACGGCCTTAATCCTCTCATCAGAAGCAAAGAACTGAAACAAAAGGCAATGGTGTTAAACCTTTCATCTGGCATGCAATAAAAAATATCCAGTCACAAAAAGGAATGCATTGATGCATTTCAACACTGAAATTCATAGGTTTCCAATTATAATGATGTAGTTGCTCCATTTCACATTGGTGCTAATAGCTCTTGTGCATTGAGCCTAATCATATTGTACACTTGTTCCCTCGACCGCAAGATATTAGGTGTATATTGTTTTAGGGGTATATATCTATATATGTATTTAAATCTCCCTAAAATTCCTACATAAGGATATTTACGCGGCCATTTTTGGTGTGTGAGAGGCGTGATACTCTTCTTCTCCATTATGGTGAAAATGTGCAAAGGTAAGCTCCCAGGAACCGGAATAAATCTGTGAGTACTTAAACTTTTTTATGATTGCTTTTCTATTTATTATTAACCTTGGAGTTAAGGACTGGGACTTGATCCATAACATTAGCAAACACAAAAAATATTGGTTAATCATACTTCTTTCAAGGGTTTTTTCAAATTCCCTATAGAACCTTAAAAGCACAAAAATAACAGTACTTGCTCGTTTTTATCTTTTACAAGCTTATATATTATACGGCAGAAGAATTTTTGTTTGTATGCAGTTTGAGACGTCTGACAAGAAAGAATTCTACCAGCAAAGACTGGGAAAAGCTTACCATGTGCTCTGTCCTACACAAACCAATTCCTTGAGCTCCATTGTTTCGAGCTGCTAGTGCATCTTCGGGCGTGTCAGCATTTGCCATAACCTACTACGGACTCCAAACATTCATTAGTATTCTGAAATACAATATAAGATAGAATGAAATTCATTTTTAAATGTTTGCAACACCTTGATTCGCCTAATCTCATCCGCCCACAACATGAAAATCTCCAAATCCCCCATCATGGCTGGAGGAGAAAGTGGTTGTTTACCCAAAATCACTTCACCTGTAGAACCATTCAGTGATATCCATTCTCCTTCATTTATTGCTTCCCCTCCAACCATCAGAACCTGAAATTAAATGAAACAGTAAAAACTTATAACCACTAAAATAATAAGTATATCACTTGAAGAATATATATTTTCCCGGACCTTCTCATAATCATTCACGCGGATTTCAGAACAACCAGAAACACAACATTTTCCCCAGCCACGAGCTACCACGGCTGCATGAGATGTCATGCCACCTCTCGCAGTCAAAATTCCAACAGCTGCGTGCATGCCTCCAACATCCTCTGGACTTGTCTCGGTTCTCACCTTCAGCCATTGCCATTGGAAATCGTGAAAAGATCAGTTTTAACATTCAAATCAGGATTAGTGAGTCAAATAAAATGAGTATACATAATGCATGATTCAAGCAGATTTTGTGATGCTAACTGAGAAGAAGTCTACTATGTAACTATAGCAATCTTATCCAATTTATTGTATATATGTTGACTGCAGAAGGTCAGTGCGTTTGTTTTCATGTTACATCATCCCCACAGAACAATTTTACTCAATAAAATATATCCACATGATTTTTAGATTTTATACTGGCAATTCAAATAGGACTAAAGAACACATTTCAAATACATCAACAAAAAGGGAAAGGCAGCACGGTATAACATGTATCATAATTTAATTAATGCAAAAGATCAGATATGAAAAGGATAGATATTTTTAAGACAATAGAATACTGTAACACAATTAAAAAAAAAAATCCATAAAGCAAAGACATAATCTGGTGAAGATGGAGGAGGATCAATATGTTTAGTCACACATCTAAGGCTAAGGTGGATGAGCTTACAAGAATGACACTTTTTCCTTGTGCATGCCATGCTTCGGCATCTTCAGCACTAAAAACAACTTGCCCCACTGCTGCTCCTGGTGATGCAGGCAAGCCCTTTGCTATCACTTTTTCTTTGTAAGCAGATGGATCCTCAAACTAAACCAAAGATTGAAAAAGAAGTTATCAAGAATGACAAGTATTAGCTTAAGGAGTCTTCATTTTGGAACCATATAACAGGTTACTATGCAAAAAAAAAAAAAATAATAATAATAATAATAATAAAATTTCCACGATATTACTGTTGATGAGAAAGAGTTATCTTGAGTCAAAACGTTTTGAAAAGTTGGCTCATGTGAGACCATTGTTGGGTTTTGATACCCAATAAATTCCAAGCAATGAGATAAAATGTCGGATTATATTTTCATAGGCCTCGGTCGACAGTTAATTGATTACCAATAATCAAGTTTAAAGGCTTGACCCGAAAATAACGTGGACCGTTGGAAGTAGTTTAAGAAATTAATATTACTCACTATCCATTATTCACTTATTGGACTATTCTTAAGTCTTGGCCCATTTATCCCTTATTTGGCACAAATTGGTAACCGAACCTTAGAATATATATAGCCTCCTTTCTTGCCATTGGAACCGTATGTGATTTTTGTGAATGAGAGAGAAAACATGGCTGCTCAAACAAGAGAGAAAATGGCTGCTTTGCTTGAGAGAAACGTGTGGCTGCCTTTTGCATTTAGGTCTCCTCTTCGTGCCTTCTTCCACTGGTTTTCTTCTTGCCTTTGTGGCTACAAATCAACACCAATATCTTATCCTTTGTGGATGAGATCGAGAAGCAACTGAGGTAAATATATTGGTTGTGGGTCAGAGCTGCTTGGATTAGTTGTTTGGTTGAGAAAGGTAACGTGAAACTGAGTCCAAAAATCACATATTTGAAGATCTTGGAGTGAACTTCTGCAACCACCATGAATGCATTTAATGTTGGGCAACAGAAGTTTGACATTCTGCAGTAGCTTTGAATAGTATTCTGCCATGATATTGAAGACTTTTGTGTATTACATGCAGCCTTTCACAATCCTTTGTTGAATTTGGTAAGGTTCGCATGCAAAAATGGTGAAATTCTCGGGGAAGGAGCACTATAAATAGAGGTGCTTGCTCGTGGCCTAAGACGCATCAAGAACCAGAGAAAAATCCAAGTGTAGCATTTAAAAGCTGTCTTTGAGGATTTTTAGAAGAGTAGAATAGTTTTGAGTGTGCTAAAGCTTAGTGAGTGTTCTCGGGTTATAATTGGGGTTTGGTGCTCCGGTTATAATTGGGGTTTGGTGTGTAAGAGTACTATGACTAACAATTTATATAGTGAAAAATCTGTCTTTGGCAGCCCGTGGTTTTTCAATCTTATTGATATTTTCTCAGCAAGGAGGATCATGGGGTAAATCTAGAAAAGTGTCAAGTTCCTAACAAAATGTTATTTATGTATAACCGAGTTTTTGTTTATGAAAATGTAAATTGTGTATCAGTTATGGCAAGAATGAATTCTCGCAAGTAAATCACATTGCTCTCGAGTAATGCATATGTACTAGTAGTCTATAAGCAACAGCAAACCTTGATAGCATGCTTATACCTGTGGATGCAGAAGTTGATCGAGATGTTGTGGCTCTACCATTTTCACTGCAGTGCGAGTATCAACAAGTCCTTCATTAACCATGTCTACGGCAATTTTTACTGCACCTTTACCTGTACGCTTTCCCGATCTACACTGCAACATCCAAAGCCGATTTTCCTGGACGGTGAACTCAATGTCCTGCAGGTGACAGTGCATGCAGATGATATCATCAGGATTATCTGTGTCTTCTTGGAAGCTTTATTCCAAACCAAGAGATCCATGGTTATTGTCATTCATATTATTGACCGTTTGTCGAAATGAGATCAAGATCAGAAATCAAGAACCAAGAAACGTTAACATTTCATAATATTATGTACATACATAAACATTACCATCATATCTTTGTAATGCGCCTCTAATATTTTGCAATTCTCAACTAGCTCCTTGTAAGATTCAGGCATACAATTCTTCATGCTGTCCAAGTCCTCTGGTGTTCGTATTCCAGCAACAACATCTTCACCCTAAACAAATATGTTTATTGGCTCAACCACATTAATATTTTCAAATAGCCAATTTAACAAAGACATTACGAAGTGAATCAAAAGGAAACTAATGATTGAGACCTGGGCATTGATTAGAAACTCCCCGTACAGCTTTTTCTCACCCGTGCTTGGGTTCCTAGTGAAGAGGACACCTGTTCCTGAAGTATTTCCCATGTTCCCAAATACCATACACTGAATGTTTACAGCAGTTCCCTTCAAACCAGTAATTTGGTTAATGCTTCGATATTTAATGGCCCTCGGACTATCCCATGAATCAAAAACCGCTTTGACAGCCAACTCTAACTGCTTTTTTGGCTCTGCAGATGGATACAAACAAATAAAGATGTTTAAGTGCAAAAAACACAAAATTACTCTCAGAGTCAAACTTAACACTAAGATGCTATTTATCATACTTCATACCTGAAGGAAATTTTTCACCCTTGGCTTCAACATAGACATCCTTGTATTGTTCTACCAGCTCTTTAAGATCAGAAGCTGTTAGATTGGTGTCAAGAGTTATACCTTTTTCAGTCTTCATGTTTTCTAACTTTTCCTCGAACAATGAATGTGAAATGCCCATTACCTTCAAGCCAATGAGACGTAATTCAAAAATACATTAGTACTATTCACTTCAAATTAATCGGTGAAGGTATGCTGATCTAGAAACAAGTACATATTTTATCTAGACTAAGAAATTCCAGAAAATAAGGAACTGAATATTTGTAATAAATGTTGGGCTAAAATATTGATGCAATGAGAATAATATTGCACTACTGGATCGTGAATCATATGTTTTTATACAAAGAAGTTTATGGCATCAGAAAGAAAACTTACAACATTTCCAAACATGTCCAGGAACCTTCTAAAAGAATCATATGCAAACCGCTCTCCACTTTTCGCACCCAAACCAGCAACTACTTCATCATTGAGTCCGAGATTTAGGACAGTATCCATCATGCCAGGCATAGAAATCTAAATGTATACCAAACAAATTCACCGATGTAAGATTAAGAGTATTGTTCATCATGCCAAGTATTCTCTCTGTGGCTATATATTATTGCTTAAAGGAACCCCTATATGAGACTAAAGATACAAACTATTGACCCCAGAGCTATTTTAATCATGTAAGATAACATCCTAAAATTTCTATTGACCATTAAAATAAACGTAAACATTTGCAATGCTACATTGAAAAATTCTGACAAATTCATTAGGCATCACATTTAGTCAGCATGATGTTTCACTAACTCTATTATCACATTTATAAAATGCGTCAGGAACATTGAAAGGTAAGTTTATCACAGTAACATATGG